AGCCTGGGGATGCTGAGACTGGGGGTGCTGAGTCTGGGGGTGCTGGGTCTGGGGGTGCAGAGCTTGGAGGTGCGAAGCCTGGGGGGGCCGAGCCTGGGGGCGCTGGGTCTGCTCGTGTGGCCGCCGGCGGTGCTTTGTCGAGGCGGGAGCCACTCTCTCCACAGGAGCTGCGCGAGTGGTTTGCCCGCCGCTGGAGACGTGCTGCTGAGACTGGAGGTGCTGCTGGGGCTACGGGAGTTGGTCCTACTGGAGCTGCTGGCGGTCCTAGTGCTACTGGAGCTAGAGCTGCTAGGGGTGTTGGCGCTGGTGTTTCTACTGGCGTTGGTGCGTTTGGGGGTGCTGCTGAGACTGCTTGAGCTGACGGTCCTACTGGAGTTGGTGCTGCTGGAGCTGGAGCTGCTGGGGGTGTTGGCGCTGGCAATGATGCTGGCGCTGGTGCTTCTGAGGGTGCTGGAGTTGGCGCTGTTGGAGCTGGAGGTGCTGCTGGCGCTGGTGGTGCCGCTTGGGGTACTGGTGCCGTCCTTGCTGGTTCTGGAGGCGCTGAGCGGCCGAGGCCGTACTTCGTTCCGCTCCTGGAGCTGGTTCTTGGTCTCCCGCCCTCTCCTGGTCCTGCTCCTTCCTTAGAGTGTCCACAGCCTGTCGAATCGCAGTCACGGTTACAACCTGCCTCCTCTCTACCTGCTCCTTCTCCCTACACTGGTCCTACTAGAGGTCTTGCTGAGCGTCGTGCGCCTGCGTCTCGTCCTGTGTCGTCTGTTCCTGCTGCTCGCACTAGTGGTCGTACTGCGCGTAAGCGTCCTCCTGCGGTCCCCGGCACATACCAGATGGCGCTGCGTCCTTCCAATGCTCCTTTGCGTGTCCCGTTGCCGTCTCCCCAGAGTCCTCTCTTCCAACTCTTGTTGACCCGGGGTCCATTGGGGGTGAGTGTGCTCTTAGCACAGACGTCCTTGAGGATAGGCAGGAGGAGTTCCAGTGCTTTGCTGCTGCTTTGCCCCATCTCGTGTCCACGCTGATTGCCCCTGAGGGAGACCCGGATGCACCAGACATCCCGACTCCTCGATCGTACACTGAGGCGATCGAGGGTCCCTTTTCCTCTCAGTGGCAGTCAGCCATGGACGCAGAGATGGCTTCCTGGAATTCCACAGACACCTACGTCGAGGAGGTTTCCCCACCTGGGGCGAACACCGTCAGTGGCATGTGGATATTCAAGGTGAAGCGGCCTCCGGGTTCTCCGCCTGTCTTCAAGGCGCGTTACGTGACTCGAGGCCTCAGTCAGCGGCAGGGAGTTGACTACTTGCAGACCTTCTCTCCCACCCCGAAGATGACCACTCTTCAGGTGCTGCTGCACATAGCCGCTCAGCGCGACTACGAGCTTAACTCTCTTGACTTGAGCACAGCTTTCCTGCAGAGCAGCCTGCACGAGGAGATCTGGCTGCGCCGCCTACCTGGCTTCACTGGGTCGTTTCCCTCTGGTACCCAGTGGAGCCTCCGGCGGCCAGTCTACGGTCTCCGCCAGGCACCCTGTGAGTGGCACGACACACTGAGGACTACACTTGCGGCTCTTGGGTTTGCTCCTTCTACAGCCGACCCGTCGCTGTTTCTGCGCACCGACACCTCTTTGCCGCCGTTCTACATCCTCGTGTACGTCGACGACTTGGTCTTTGCCACTGCTGATACTGCTCGACTCGCCCACGTGAAGTCCGAGCTGCAGAAGAGACACACGTGCACAGACCTGGGTGAACTGTGCAGCTACCTTGGCTTGCAGATCACTCGGGATAGAGCACACCGCACCATTACCCTGACTCAGTCACACATGGTGCAGCAGGTCCTTCAGCGCTTCGGCTTCACGTACTCCTCTCCTCAGGCCACTCCTCTATCTACTCGCCACTCGCTCTCAGCTCTGCCTTCGGATGAGTCCGTAGAGCCGAGTGGCTCGTACCCCGAGCTTGTTGGCTGCCTCATGTACCTGATGACCTGCACACGACCTGACCTTGCATACCCTCTTAGCATCTTGGCACGCTATGTTGCTCCTGGGAGACACCGACCAGAGCACATGGCTGCAGCAAAGAGGGTGTTGCGCTACGTGTGCAGTACGTCGGGCATGGGGCTAGTGCTTGGAGGGCGACGTCGAGTGGTCCTCACAGGTCACGCTGACACTTATTGGGCTGACGACCAGGCTCAGCAGCGGTCGTCACAGGGTTACACCTTCAGCCTTGGCTCTGGCTCTGTTTCGTGGCGGTCTACCCGCTCGTCCTCTGTTCTTAGCTCCTGCTGTGAGGCTGAGATCTACGCAGGGGCCATGGCTGCACAGGAGCTACGCTGGCTCACCTACCTGCTGACTGACCTAGGAGAGCAACCTCGTTCTCCTCCAACTATGTACGTAGACAACAAGGCCATGCTGGCCTTGTGTCGGGAGCACAGACTGGAGCACAGAACGAAGCACATTGCTCTCCGCTACTTCTTGGCTTGTGAGCTGCAGCAGTGTGGTCAGCTCCGCCTCACCTACGTGGCCTCTGAGGCCAACACTGCTGATATCTTCACCAAGGCCCTTCCGCCTCGTGATCATCAGCGCTACTGTACTTTGCTGGGTCTTGAGCCTATTTGGCCTCACTAGCTCACTTCTTGATCTTGTTTGTACTGTACTCTTTCTATACCTTCACTTGCTTGTTTACCTTTATGTATATGATCTTGCATGTGAAGTGGCCTTGTGGCCTTGCTCTTGTGCTCGGACTGTGTGGTGACTTTGTGATTCACCCTGAGCTTGTTTTGCTTTGCTTGACTGGTCTTGTGACCACTTGTTCTCGCCCACTTTGCGTATGGGGGTGTGTCTTAACATTATAGCTTATACATCTGTGTAGGCTGTAGTGGGGTAGACCATAAGGGGTACAACCCAATTAGGGTTAGCACTTGTACCCAACTGTTTCATAGTTCAATCATTCTCGTTCTGATTATCACAGTCCTTGGGCTCCTCACCCTTTATCGGGACAACACATTGGCCATGTTGCCGAGCTGTCCGCACTTGAAGTAGGTTCCACGATAGCTCCTGGTGTTGTTGTCCATTGGTGGCCCACGTTTGTTGCCAAATGCACCGGTTCCTCGCCCTCTACCTCGTGCGGCGCGGCCGAGGTTGCCTTGGGCGCGTTCCATGGCCGCAACGTTTGCCATGGCTTGCTTGAATGGGCACGAGTTGAATAAGCTCTTCTCTTCATACATCTTGAACCAGTTAGCGACGCGGAAATTTGTGTAATCGGCGACGTGGAGAAGCTTGAAACAATTATTGACGAGCGAGAGCGCCTCCTCGAGGAGTTCGATGGCGCTTGCCGGTTCGTTGAGCCGCACTTTCTGCTCCGCATGCATCAGTTAGGCGCGCAGGTCCTCAAGGAGCTCGGCTTGTTCACGAACAGCCCCGTTCTTGAAGGAAGATACGGCGAGGTTAGGGTTGGAGGTAGAGGGGGGGGGGGAGGTGCTCGGTGGTTGAAAAAACTGCATTATCGGCAGGTGCCTCACCAGATTTGTTGTCAGAAGTGTCGCTGTCGGCAGGAATTTCTGGGGCCCGGGGTAGCTTTGGCTGTGGTGCCCTCGGCGCGTGCGATTTTTGCCGTGCGAGCGCGTTCCACCGTCTCCCTTTTTTCCTTCTCGCTTTTAGCTAACATTGACGTTGCGTTTGGTGTAACGGTGGTTTTGCGTAACTGCGGGGGCTTGCTGCTGTAATAGGGACAACAGATGCTGCAGTTGGGCCGAAGTGAAGACAGGCAAGGCCACACGCGCATCAGGGGCCTGAGGCGCGTCAGCGGCCTGAGGCGCGTCAGGGCCCACGTGCGCCTGAGGCCTCGTGTCAGGCGCGTGTGCCTGCCTGCGGCGTTGACTTGGCGCCCTCGTTGACGGCTGGCACCTCAGGCTTCTCAGGGGGCACTTACGCTCGAGGCACCCCAGGGGCGCGTGCCCCGGCGACGTCGGACAGCAGAATGTTGATGGTGGTCGGGGTTGACTCCTCGTCGTCTGCCCGACGCTTGTTCCGGTGTTCGCCCGCGGGTTCACGGGTAATATTTTCGTTGTCTGGACGAATTGAAGCGTTGGCGTTGTCACCGTTCTCGCCGTTAAGTGCCATAGTAGCCGCGTTGTGAGCGAAAATGTTCGAAAGGAGTGTGGATGGGGACCGAAAATGAGGTAGTGACTTCAATTTCGCCAGCTTGGAATTGGGAACTTGAAAACTAGGGTACGTTGTTTGAAAATGAAAGACGTGGGTGGAGGGAAATGACCTTCAGCCCAGGTTTTGTACTCCAAAACGGGTGTTTAGCGCGGTTCGCCGATCATCATTGCTACATTACAAGCCGCTTCGCTTTCAAAATGCAAAAATTTGAAAAGCGTTACAGCTTTTAAAAATATTTATATTTCAAGGGTATTCACGCGATGTTGACGGGTCAAGATCTTCTCAGACACAATCAGATGTACACGGAACATTTGTGTCCTATTGCATTGTTATGTGTTTTTCCATTCAACAATAATCTTTAATGTTGCTGAAGGGGAGATTTCAACTCTCTCTCTCTGACTTCCACCAGCAGATTTGCCCGCAACTTCGAAATACAAGCAGATATTTCCACTGCAAAGGCATGTTACAGTGAAAGTACCACTAGAGATGTGAATGGAAAACGCTCCAACTCCCTTCAAGCGCCAAAAAAAGTCACTATGGTACACACAGCCAATTAAGCTCTACATTGTCTGAGCATGCCCTTCCGTTGTATTCAATGAACCTTGCAGCTGGTCCCGTTTTGGTTCCACCGAAAAAGCTGAAAGCACCTGGGCATGTGAGCAAAGGAGACACCACCTTACGCCTGCCAATCTTGCAAGTGTAAGCATTGATGGACTTGTAGTCTGCCTTGAGACAAACCTGGGATAGAAGGTGCAAACAGAGGCAAACCAGGAAACAATCAAAATCAAGGATGCCATGACCAGGGTATAGTGCACAGCAGAAACCCTCCATGTTCCTTTCCATATACTTGTTATCCTCCGCCCCTCACCTTTGTGCTGGCCCCACTAGCAATGGTGGCACTAGAGGCAGGGATAGTGCGGGGACCGATGATGCCAGGATTTGAACGGTAGAGCTCAGTCCAGCTGGTTGCAGCCACCACTTCGGCCCCTGTCGACCCCTCCCTACTTGAATTCATGCTCTGCTGCTGCAGGCTCTCGCACGTGTCCTGAGAGGAGAGCATGCCGTACTGCAAGCACCAAGGGACAGTGAAGGCGAAGGTGGCGTTGGGCTCAATGCAAAGAGAGCGGCCCGCCTTGATGGGCTCAAAGCAGTCCAGGCCGGGATTGAGAGAGGCAAGGTAAGTCGATGCGAGTCCCAGCTGGACGCTGATAGAGGAGCAGGTGTTGCCCTGGAGGATAAAGTGGGGACGGGTGGAGACAAGAGATGGTTTGTTGCAGATGATACACGTTTAAATTGTGCTGCTGTTTAATGGCCAGATACATTGCGGATGGTGAATACAATATCAAAAGATGGGGGAAAGTTTGGGGAGGAGGGAGAAATGGGGGAGTGAGTGAGTTGAAGGGGGGATGACAAGGGCGATGAGGGGAGAGGGGTGGAGGATCCCCAAAAGAAATTAATCTTCTTGGCCAGGCTCACTTTGAGGGCATAGAAGAATGCAGTGCAGGGGGTGGTGGGAGTGCCTCCCAGCTTGATCACCTTGCCCTGCGGCAAACTCTGGTTGCATGGAATGGCCGGCAATCAAAATCACATGCATAATGGATCGGAGAAATCATGTGGTGGATACACAGGTCTCATGAACTCTGAAGTTCAGTCAACAAACCTATGCGTACGTTTGTCCCTGCTGCCACCACTCACTAAGGCCATTTCCATGCAAACGTGGCCTGCTCATTGGCCCTCTCACCATGTTCTGCGATGAGAAGCCAGCCAAGGAGATGCCGGCCACAGGGAAGACATCGGAGCACCACCAGTTAGCGCCAGTGATTATCAACATGGAGGCTGTGCTATTGGCTAGAGCAAGATGATCAGGAAGGAGGCAGGCAGGGAAGGACAGGTGTGGAGGGAATGCAGACGAGACTACCATGGCAGAAGTTCATGCATCAAGTACTGACAACGGTGGAGCTTGACGGGCAACAAACAACCCATGAAACTGCATTCCAATGCATCCTCATAACAAAAACGCGTGAGTGAGGTTAATGTAGCAGCACCTGGGTCGCAAGTGGGGAGGTTGTCAACGGTTATGCTGCCAACGTAGTTGGGAGGGCAGATGCAGGAGTACGCGCCCTTGCCATCATTGATGCATGTCCCCACAGCGCAGGGGTTGCTAGAGTAGGAACCGCACACATCAACTGTTTGGTTTGCAGCAGGGAGGGTATGGGCGGAGATGGGTTATTAAGTTTTAAAAAGAGAGGGGTTTGGGGAAGGGAGGAGGGGGGGGGGGGGGGGGGGGGGGGAGGGAGGGGGGGGGGAGAAGGGGGGTGGGGGGGTGAGGGGGGCCTGGGGGGACAATTTCAGCTTCGCAGCAAGTGTCAGTGCACCTGCGTTCAGAACCAACCCATCAAACGTGAACTCGATCCTTGACCACTGATGTAAAAGGTTCAAGGTTTACAGTCAGGCCATGGATGCCCTTGCAGCCCATGTAATCTCCATATGTACTGCAAGAGAAGAGCAGTACACAGTGGTTCAGAGAAACATTTTTGGGCTTAATCACGACTCACCATATGCACATGTCTTGGATCCCAGCCAATTTTCCACTTAAACAAATGGCTGCTTGGTCTCGTTCGGTATGGTGCAGTTGCAGGTGTTGCTGTTGGTCTTTGTGTTTGCCTGACATGTGAAGCGACCGCACGGGTTCATGCTGGGCTGCAGATCCCCATTGCCCTTGTAGCTCTTTTGGCCGCACGGATCCTTGGGAACTGGAAGGGTGGTGGGAAGCACAGAGGAGGTGGCATGTGTGAACACGTAAGTGGGCTGAATCCATAACTGTGAAGCTTTCTCTGCCTGCTGAGGAAACACGGACAGTATACATAATGTTGCAAACAGAAACGATTGGCAATGTGATGCATGCTTCACTCCTGACAATGGGGTTGATGCCTCACTCTTGACAATGGGGTAAATGCCAGGCAGCATGTTGATGCCACACACGCCAACCCCTCCCTGAATGTCCATGCGCATGTGGCCTCTGTCTCCCCACTCCACTCCCCACGAGTTGCGGATGATCCAGAACGGTGGAGCAGTTTGGCTTTGGCGGTCATTATTTGTGAAAAGGAGGTACCCAACAACAAGTACAGCATGGTCCAGGTTGCCAGTGTAGCAGGCAGGATCCTGGTGCTTGAAGGTCTGGAGGAGAGAAGGAGATGGTGAGCACAGGGAAGGTAGACACAGATGCGGTCATATGAGACATGCGGTTTCCTAAATCGGTTATAGCTGGCAATGAGTAGAAGTGTGGCATTTGAAGGCATCTTCTATGTGGACACGGAGAGAATTGCCAAAGGCATCTTCTATGCTGACAAGGATGATTGCAAAACATGGCCACATGATGAGATGATCAGTACGCATCCCGTCATATTGTACAAACGTGGCTGCAGAGGCTTTGATGTGAACCACCACTGGCTGCCGCCGAACTGCCAGCATGAGCCCTACATAACCCGTGTACCGTGTGCGCTCAAATCCTTGAATGGGGTACTTTGATATCCATGGATCAGAGCACACACCAGTGAATGGGAGATAAATCAACAACTGGTCGAAACAGCACGTAGATGGGTGAGGGTTGGGGGAGGAGAAGATGAAGAGAAAAGGGTACGGTCAACTGCAATCTCATTGGCCAATATTGAATTCCTAGAATCTTGTCCCTTGGATAACCTGTTGTACCGCATGACTTCTAGTCTCAGAGGCCCTGTAAGCATGTCTGTTTGCATCTACAGCAGCTGCTCATTGCTCTGTACAGTCGCTCGATTATGCTTGCTGCACAGCTGCACAGCCTTGCTAGGTTACATTGGCCTCGTTCCTACCGGCTTGCTGTCTGTTGTGAGTCCACCACTGGGCAGAGTGATAAGCCTGTGAAAGGCCGCGGTAGAAGAGCCGCCTGCCATGCACTTGGCAGTGAGGGAGGTGAGCTCCATGGCTGCAAAGAGTGAGTCCACTGACAGCCATGGCGCCTCACTGTTCAGAGCAATGCCGTACGCTGCCTCCACACTCGCCACCACCGCATACGCCCAACTCGCACCTGAAAGGGAGATGCAACACAGGAGTTCATTGAATAAAAAGGAGTATCACCGGTACAGAGAAAGTGCCAGTGGGGTAAAAAGTACCACCAAAAAACTGTCCATATACCACAAACTTCCTCATTCCCACTCAATGCAGTCCTTCTGGTTCTTGACCGGCCAGCCAAGGAAGGGAATGGAGTCCCAGGAGTGACGGAGAAAGAGACTGAATGGCAGCAAAGAGGGGCATACAGGCATAGATCGCTGAAGCAGAGGGAGAAATGTTTTCCTGGAAAGGGGTTGTTCACCTGGAATGATGTCTACCGGCTTGCGTGGAGCTGGAAGGCCTGCAAAAATGGAAAACACGAGGGACATACAGGAATGGCAGCCATAGATAGTTAGAACAGGATCCGTAACACTTGATCAGCATTTGAAAGGTTCATCATCCCTGTAGCAGTCCTCCGCACCATCACCATTAGAGCTGCCCTTACCAGTGTGAACTGCCGACTTGAGGATGAGATGCATCTGGAACGGCTTCACAGTGGTGGATGCCACAAAGCCAAAGAAGAACGCCCGCTGCTCTGCCCCAACCTGCAGCACCTCACACAGCGCCAGCCTCCTCTCCAGCAGCAGCTGAGCTGGCTTCACCTCCGTGGCAGCTAGGAACACCTGGATGGTGTCGAGCTCCCCAGGCTCGTAATCCACCCACACCGTGTACGCCTTTCTGCTGGTCGGAACAAACGGCGACTTCGCAGCGGCTTTTGACTGGTCCTGGCCTTGAATGTTCAGCCCCACGTGCGGGCTGCTCATGTCGCCATGCAGCTTGTCCTGCAGCGTGTCAAACTCAACCGCCATGCTGCGGGTGTCCATGCCACCATACCCCACACCAGATCCCTTCCCCACCCGGTCCGTTGCCGAGACGACAAAGGCGAAGCCGTTGTTGCCAGCACGGCCGGATTGAGGGGCGAGGGAGAAGGTGAAGTTGGCCTGGAAGGCGAGCTGCACTCCACACCCCGACACCGCCTGCCCTGCCCCGTACACAAACAGAGGCACTGGATCCGCGGTGAATTTCCCCCCCGTCTCTTTCTGCGTCTCCTTGGTGAGCAAAGTTGTTGGCGGGATAATAGACAAGCTGCCCGAGGTAATGTTGGTGGAGCCTGAGTTGCTGTTGGTGGAACCCGAGGTACTGTTGGTAGAACCTGAGGTACTGTTGGTAGAACCTGAGGTACTGTTGGTAGAACCTGAGGTACTGTTGGTAGTACCTGCGGTACTGTTGGTAGTACCTGAGGTACTGTTGGTGGAACCTGAGGTACTGTTGGTTGAGCTTGAGGTACTGTTGGTAGAACCTGAGGTACTGTTGGTTGAGCCTGAGGTACTGTTGATACTGCCTGCAAACATGCAAGGCACACAAGCAAAAATATTATAGGTGAGATGAAATGTGAAAATTCACAATCATGGCAGATGGTGATGAAGTGAGGCCTCTTGAGAGCAATGCCCATGCAGTGACATCAGACAAAGAGTGCAATGCAGGGACACAGCAGATCGCATGCATTCACATCCCTTGCAAAAAGAGTGGCCAGGCCATGTTCCACCCCTTCTGCATCTATCCCACTTCTGTGTGCGCCACCCCCAGGGAGCACCCTACCTTCAGCCACGCAGCTGAGGCTTCCACATTGGATGTACCCCGCATCACACAGACAGGTTGGGGCCAGGGTAACCTCGTCTGGAACGCACACCCCTCTTCCATCACAAGGAGAAGCAGCGGCTTCTGCAGAGTAAGAGACGCCACAGAATGTATTGCATGATGCTTCCTGCCACTGCACAACCTCTGCACAACCAGAAGGCAGTGTGAAGCAGTTGCCATCAAAACTGAAAGCGTGGCATGTCCCGACCGGCACAAGCCCGGAGAGGAAGTTGATGGAGAGACGCCAGGTGCTGATGATGGGCAGTGTGGGGATGGGGCCGGCGAGGTAGTTGCTCGAGAGATCCCTGGGAGAAAGGGAGGAGCGAAGGAAAGTGGAAGAAAACGTTTAGGGTGGATGATCAATGCACCTAAATATGGCCTGCAGATCGCATTATTTAGATGTAGGAGAAAGGTCCGAGGACCTATAAATTGAGCTGAGGCAAGCAAAGATTTTTCTAGTTGGTCGGAGGCTGATACTAGTAGCTAGAAACTTTCTTCACCTAGTAGGAATCGGTATGACATTAGTTTCATATATTAAAGAACTCACTAAGCATGTTTGTTTCGTTGTAACCTATCTCTACCCTTGTGCTAGACACCAATGATGCAGCTTCTTTTTTTTCCTTATTCTAGAAATTATTATTGCTGACCCTCTACGCTGTACAACTCATGATTATTATTATTAGGTTTACGGTGCAAAGGCTGGTGTGGTTACTTACAGAAAGGTGAGGTGAGTAAGCTGGGAGAAGCTGTCAGGAATGCGGCCATATAGCTTGTTTGAGGTAAGAGACCTGGTGCCCATGTGGTGGTCAGGAGGCAGGGCAGAAAGAATAGGGAGAGCCAGGTTTAAAATCATTGGAGGTAAGGTCTCGAGAATGAGGTGGGTGGCATTTAAAAGGGATAATGTAAGTTGGAACCTCAGACTTTGACAGGGATTAAGCACGTGGACACTGTTGTTTTGGCACGATCGTCAAGTGAAATAACTGGGCTGAGTCAATGAGGGCATTTCAGTGAAGCAGTGTATCCTCCGATTCTTGGTGGGAGAGAGGTGACACAGGGCGGTATGGCACATAACCCCTGACAGATAGCACAACTGATATAAGTCCTCGATACCACACGTGGGAAGCGTTTCCTTTATGGAAACATCTTGTGTAATTATGTTGGAGTTCATAGCAAAGCATGTGAGAGAAAGGAAAAAGTGTGACACAGGCAGAATCTTTAAGATCTGAGCGCGCATGAGCTTTGCCAGAGATCAAAACCGCGTAGGCACAGAAGGCATTGGTAGTGAGCAATGAATAACAGTCATGCTGGTGAAGAATGGATTGTAGACTCTTCAGCTGGTGAGCACTACGTACATGCTAGTTAAGTTGGTGAGGGAGTCGATGTAGGAAGGGATAGGTCCATAGAGCTGGTTGCGGGACAGTGTTTTGGTTGTGATGAGAGGGTGGGACAACGAGAAGGCTGGACCAAAGCAGTGCCACAATTTGTTATTTTCCTGTTTGTGCTTTCCATGCCGTGGTGATTGCCTTAGAAGGGGCATAAAAGTGAAGAGGCGGTTGAAGTTGAGAAAAAGGGAGGGATTATGGGATTTGCAGCAGCTGTGAAGTAGGGAAGAGATGAGGAGAAGATCAGCGAGTGGAGAGAAGGGCCTAGAGTTCTAGTCCTGAAACAGAGGTTATGCTCGATGGAATAAAGCCATTGAGCTAAGACGACTTTTGAGGCGCCTCAAAAGGTTTTGGAGTACCATATACGAATGAGTCAGGGTCGAGCTGGTAGTCCACTGGTTCATTGATTGGGCTTGTATAGGGAACGGGGTTTGCCTCGTTTAGTACCATAGCAGCACAGAGAGAGGCAACAAGTATCAGTAGGACGAGCAGGAAGATGCTTCAAATTTGATTCAAGAAGGCCAGGGTTTAGTTGCTAGCGGTGATTATGCAGCTCCATACAGGGATCGGGCAGGGTGGAACTGACAAAGCAAGTGGGAAATGGAGAGACAGAGGCCGCTATTGGCTTGAGACAAGTATGTAGATATCAAGGATTTGATTTACAGTGCTTGCAAGACTAGGGCGTTATTCAATATGGGGGAGTGTAGAACCAGCAGAACCATGATCATTGTGTGTCATTCAGTCACTCAGTCAGTAAGAGTGCCTACACATGCTCATAAGCGGCAGTAATTCCAAGTTCCAACGTGTGGAGGTGATAAAATTACCCAGTGAATAATTGTGCTTATTACGGCAAGCAGGGGGCTGCTAGGCTTACAAGCTGGTGAGCGCTGTAAGATCTGTTATCCACGAGGGCAAGGAACCTGACAGCATATTCGAGTGGAGATGCCTGTTGATATTGAGAGCAAGTAGAGGGGGGGAGGGGGAAAGAAGAGGTGAGGTTAAACGAATTGAGATTGTTCCAAGACATGACAAGAATCGTTAGAACGAGCTCGGTGGCCTTGTGTGTCAGGAAAACACATGACTCCTTTTTCCCCAAGTTTAGGTTGCTACCCACAATCTAAAAAGCCCAGATTGGCACGGTGTGTGTTCAACTTGCCTAACGAGCACTAACAACCTGTCATACAGGCAGCCTCCTTTGAAGAAATATCATGTTCAGGGTTTAGGGTTGATACGAAAATGGAGGAGACCAGGCCAGGAAAGAGAGATGAGGGGACGGGATAAAACAGGGATGCGATGAAGCCTTACCGAGACTCCAGAGATGCCAAGCTTCCAATGGTGACAGGGATAGAGCCGTTGAGGTTATTGTTGTGTAGATACCTGTGGTTGTTCAAGAGTGATATTGGTACCCAAAAATACCAGGGCAAAGCGGCGAAGGATCACTTTCTAGTATGACCGTGTGATAGAGTGTAGCCCGATCAAGGTTCAAAAATACGGTCGTTTTTCTGAAATTGCTCTACGATTTCTCACAGGAGCCTATTATACGAGACCGTTTTTTACCGTAACTTTTCAAAAAAGCGGCAGTATTTTTAATCCTTGAGCCCGATAATGGTGCACAAAGAAGCTGTGAAGCATTATGTCATTGAAAAAGGCATTGCTGATCATATAGTTATCAAAATACAATACATGTTTCACAACTCCCCTTTTGGAACACTTGCTAAAGGAGGTCAGGTGTGTGTGCTCACAAGGATTTGATTTGAGTGAGAGCACTGAAGCTTGCAGGTATGCTGCCCAGTAGCTGGTTGATTGAGAGATTCCTGGGGAAAGAAAGAGAGCAGAATTTAATAGCAAACTCAGCAACAGTAGGGTGCATGGCAGGAGAGAAGCTTATACCTGAGCTCAGCGCAACCAAAACAAGGAATAACAGACATAGGGAAGCCAACTACAATGTATTATCATAATGGAGGAAAGTGATCCAACAACAAAAATAAGGCTGAAAATGAAAATAGAATAGATGAATAGAGGAGATGAAGATTGATGTTTGAGCATGGATGTCGACTGGAAACTGTCCTAGTAAAACTCAAAGCTCTGCAATAGTCATGACAACATTATGGGGGTATCAAGAGCCAAACTATTGGGTGCAGGGTTGGGTTCGGTTGAGTGAATATATAAAAACATAGTACTAACAAACACAATGCCCAACAACTATGTTCATATTACCCCACACGTCCTGAATAACACGGATCCTCATTCATCAAAGGGAAAGGAACCTGTATGAAATGCTGCAGCTCGATCCCACAAGACAATCTAAATCAAGCCGTTTGACAATTACATTCTATCAAAATAAAACAGCTCGTTTGAGACAAACAGCTACTACTCAAGCCAAACTGCAATGTGGTATCTTTTTCCACGCCTACCCAAGACCAAGACTTGGACATGCTAAGATGGAAAATACAGGAGGACACACTACATTCGTGAAAGGACAACGCACGACAAGGTGGCACGTAAGCCACATGTGTGGCTGTGATGTCTGAAGGTTGGTGGTATACAGTATAAGTAGTCGAAATAAGCATTCAGCTTACACAGAATTGATTCGAGTGAGTCCGCTCAAGGTCGCAGGGATGCTCCCTGAAAGTTGGTTGTTCAAAATATCACTGGGATACAGGCGTGCAGGGAAGGATAAACGCGCAAGCCGCAGAAAGAGTGAAGAACACAGGTGAGGGGCAGAGGGATGCACCAGATGATAATGGGGTGGGAGTGGGAGAGGAAGGGCAAATAAGGGCATGGATAAGAGAGGCTGGACAAGTGTGGTGGTGGAGAGTGACTGACAGCCTGGTGAGGGTGAGCATGGCACCAACCTCCTCGGGGATGGGACCAGACAGTTGGTTGGAGCTCAGGTCGCTGGGGGAATAGCAGGGACAGTGGAGTAAAGGGTGGGCAGGGATGGATAAAGAGGTGGCGGTAACTTTTGCACTGAAGGCTTTGGGTAAAGTTCTTAAACAGAACAAGAGCATCAGGCTAGCTGTGGTGGGTGTAGTAGTAGCAGCTGTGGAAAGGCACAGCAGTAGCAATGGCAGTATGGCACCCACAGGGCATTGAAAAGGCTGAGTGAGGCAATGGAGGGAGGGATGGAGCCCGAAAGATTGTTGGAATGAAGGCCCCTGCAGCAGCATGGGAAGGCGGCACATGGGTGTCAATTTGAGAAGTTTCACGTAAGTGAAGGAAGCAGACAGTGTGAAACGCTTCTGGAGTAGGGGCTTTGATGAGCGGGAGAGGCGTGGCGTGTCTTACAGGTACGTTAGGGTGGCGAGGGAGCCGATGGAGGTAGGGATGGGTCCAGAGAGCTGGTTGTAAGTGAGGGATCTGATTGTTGGGGCATTGGTGCGAAGGGGCATTGGGAAGAACAGCCAATGATTTTTTTATGGCCTCATGGTGTTGTGAAATGGGTGAGGAAAGAAGGGGGGCACGAGAGCGGGGTGGAGAAATGAGAAGTCATGAAAACGAATGATGAGCACAGCCACTAGGGGCAGGCAGGGGTTGGTGGGGAGAAAAAATGGAACACAAAGTGAGAAACGAGATGTCTTACAGAGCTACAGTTCTTGTGAGCAAGCCAATGCCAGCGGATATGGGGCCGGTGAGCTGATTTCTGGTTAGAATTCTGAGGGAGAATGGCCAACGCAATAGAAGATTGAAAAAAAATCCTAAGTCTCAACTCATGATCTGCACTACAATGATATTTCTTATTTTTCATTATTGTTGATGCTAGCGTGAAGGGGAAAACTAGAAAAGCATTATCAGTTAGTAAAAGAAAAAGGTGGAAAAAAAAAAGACATTCAATCTAAAATATGCCGTTCTGAGTACAGGGTGACGCTTCTCACCATCTCCCGACTACTGGTGCATCCGCAGCACATGTGGATCCTTTGCTGCATGTATGCCACTCAATTGGTACTTCAGCAAATGATTTCGATGAGTGCTGCAGCTTGATGAATACAGTGATTGAGGACTAAGGCACATGTGTGACTAACGTAGTGCATGGAGCATACTGCAAATTGAGCTTACAGGAACACCATTCGACTGAGTGCACTCAAGGTCGAAGGGATGCTGCCTGAAAGCTGGTTGTCCGAAAGATCACTGAGGGACAGGTGTGTCGGGCAGAGGACGAACGGGCGAGTTACAGGAAGAGAGGAGAACACACGTGAGGGGCAGAGGGATGCACCGAATGATAATGGAGTGTGCGTGGGAGGGAAAGGGCAAAGAAGGAACGGATGGGCGAGGCTGGGCAAGTGTAGAGAAGGGAAAGCCAAGGAGTTTGTGGTGGTGGGGAGTGACTGACAGTCTGGTGAGGGCTAGCATGGCACCAATCTTATCGGGGATGGGACCGGATAGTTGATTGGAGCTCAGGTCGCTGTGGTAAAAGCAGAGGTAGTGGAGTGAAGGTTGCGCATGGATGAATGAATCAAAATGTACCAGTGCC